TTGAAGCGGATTCGGAGACTAATGGGTAACCAGTGCAGCTCGCGGAGGATAGGTGTAACGTGGGTGTACCTGGGTGCACCCACAATCGCTCGCGCATGGAGTGAAGCCCTGCCTGTTTCTGCACCTGTCTCTCTTCCAAAGATGAAGACTAAATAACAACTTCCATGGGATCCAGAATTAAAATCTAGAATGGTTTTGGCAATTTGGTACGCACTTATCAAGAGCTTAATGCCACTGAACCTAATGGGGCCCTTGTTTGAGAACAGGTTGTGAAGAATTACAGGGTGAAGAGAATTTATTTCAGTAGGAAAAGAGGTTTGGTTGTCCTTTACCCAAAAACAGGGATTAGAAGTGCAGATAGTCCTCAACTTACAACCTTGTTACTCACTTAACAACTGTGGCAAGAAAGGTCATAAAATGCGGCAAAACCCATGTCGCGTGTGCATGCGCAGGAAGGTGGGGCGCAGGGAGGTTGCATGCGTGCAAGGCTAGCCATCCCTGTCCTAAATGTTGTGATAGAAAATTATATGCTGTCTTCCCCATTATAAATAGAAGAAGGGGGTCCTTCCCAGAGCTGTACTAGAAAGCAGTTCTGTTACTTATTTAAAATGCATTAATATTTATTTATAGGCAACTACTAGACAGGTTAATTTCAAAATATTATAGCCATATATACCTTTATTCCTATTTCCCCGATTCTGCTGAAGAATTTTCACTTCTTGAGCAACTTTCTGCTTCTCCGCCTCCAGAGCTTCGAGAATCTTAACGTGACGAACTGTGTGATCTTTCAAAACCTAAAACAAAATCAGGGCGGGAAGTTTTCTTGGTAAAAGTTTTTAAAACTGGAGGACGCAGTCTAACACAGGGCCAGTGGTTAAGGCATCAGGCTAGAAAGCAATAGACCATGAGTTCAAGTACTGCCTTAAACATTAAAACCAACTGGGTGACCTTGGGCCAGTTCACTCTCTCACCTCACCGGAATATTGTTGTGGGGAAAATTGGTGAAGGAAGGTATTTTGGATATGTTTGCCACCTTGAGTTATTTGTAAAATAAATAAATAAATAAAAGGATGGTAGGTAGTACACCAGAGTGTCTGCAGGGTATGATTTTAAAAAGTCAAAATAGTAGATGAATCGCACTGTCATGGCTAAAACCTTGGTTTTGACTCCACTACCCCGTGAGGACACAGACAGGGCCAGGTTATATGCAGAACTGTCTCTTGCTGAGGGTGTCTGCCTGTTCCAATACATAGCAATAGCAATAGCAGTTAGACTTATATACCGCTTTATAGGGCTTTCAGCCCTCTCTAAG